TACAGTGGTACCTCGAGTTACAGACACTTCAGGTTCCAGACTCCGCTAACCCAGAAATAGTACCTCGGGTTAAGAACTTTGCTTCAGGATGAGAACAGAAATCATGCTGCGGCGGCAGCGGGAGGCCCTATTAGCTAAGTGGTACCTCAGGTTAAGAACAGTTTCAGGTTAAGAACAGAACTCCAGAATGAATTAAGTTATTAACCTGAGGCACCACTGTACAATGATTCAGAAAATATACACAATAAAAAAGTAGCATAAACTTTGTCAGCAGAATTGTGTCATCAATAAATGCAGAACCATCATTCTTTCGTTAACTCTCTTTTTATACGAGACAGCTGTGTGTGTCTTGCGTTTTCCACGTGGTTCTTCCAACTTTTTTCAGAATGTCGAAACTCTCATCTTTTTTAAGAATGGAAGAGCAGCACAATGTCTGCAGATATAGATGCCTCTTGCACTGATCTGCCATCTTTTTTTAAAGAGCAATTTGATGCAGGTAGGTGACCTGCCAAGAAAATGACCCTATTAAAACACAGCACCCTGTTCCAGTGGGTTTCTCATTATGAACTTGTTCATTATTTTTTAATCAATTGTTTAAATAGCACTAAAATGGTTTTCTGCCAAGAGAGAGAGAGCGAGAGAGGTATAGCTATTACACCATAAATCTATAGGGGGAAATTCAGTGTGGCAATTGTTCCATCAACATAAGTTTTTCAGCTTGCCATTCAAACAATTCTCCTATTAGTCATATTCTCCCCCTGCGTGCTGTTCTGGGGGCGGGTTCCACAACCCCTCCAAACCATTTTTGGGAGTTATACAGGGAAAGGTGAAGAAAAACCCCTGTTACGCTGGCTTCCAACAAGTGGGATTTCTGCACTTTTTGTATTTTAGATACCCTGCTGCTGATTTTCTTCTCCTACATTTTTTGATGATGATGCTATTATGAGAATGTATTTTATTATGCATTTCTCATTATTGTAATTGTACTTCTATAACTGTTTTGATTTTGATACTGTATAGATATTCTGTTACATATTGACATTTGTGTTCCGTTTTGTAATCCACTCTGCGGCCTTTTGACAATTGGCAGCATATACATTTAATCAATAAGAATAATAGTTGAATCCTACCCATGGTGTTATATTTTTTAAATGATTTTTACAAAAACAAAAAAAAGTTCACTAACGTTAACTATATTGCTAAGATGGCAGAACCAGGCAGAACGCCTTCTCAGTAGTGGCGCCCGCCCTGTGGAACGCCCTCCCATCTGATGTCAAGGAAATAAATAACTACCTGACTTTCAGAAAACATATGAAGGCAGCTCTGTTTATGAAAGTTTTTAATGTTTGATATTTTATCGTGTTTTTAATATTCTATTGGGAGCTGCCCAGAGTGGCTGGGGAAACCCAGCCAGATGGGCAGGGTATTATTATTATTATTATTATTATTCCCAGCCAGATGGGCGGCATAGAAATTACTATTATTATTATTATTATTAAATAATTTTTTTAAAAAAAGAAATTACTATTATTATTAGGCACTGTAACACCATAATACAAAAAAAAATAGTATTGTCATGTTACAGTGCTATAGAGTGGTGCCTCGCAAGACGAAATTAATCTGTTCCGCGAGTCTCTTCATCTTGCGGTTTTTTCGTCTTGCGAAGCACAGCTATTAGCGGCTATTAACGGCTTAGCGGCAATTAACGGCTTAGCGGCTATTAACGTCTTAGCGGCTTTAAGAAAAAGGAAACAAACTCGCAAGAACTCGCAAGACGTTTCGTCTTGCGAAGCAAGCCCATAGGGAAATTCGTCTTGCGGAACGACTCAAAAAACGGAAAACCCTTTCGTCTAGCGAGTTTTTCGTCTTGCGAGGCATTCGTCTTGCGGGGCACCACTGTACCTCTTTTTCACTTAAATAGAAAGAAACAGCAGAGATCATTTTAAAATTTTTAGCAGGACCATGAAAAGGTGTTCAACACATTGGTGAATCAGGCAAAGAGCTTCAAATCACCCTCGTCCACAGCAGCTAAACCTCAACACTTGTATGGACAAAACACCTTAGAATGTACACATTGGGCAGGGAGGATTCAAAACTCCTGATGGTGTGGAAAGTCAGTTCCAATTCAGGTTTACAATGGGAGACCAATGACCAAGTAGTGTTTGGAGCCATGACACATGGAAGGATCTAGCCTCAAGTCTCCCCCTATGGAATTTCTCAAGTTCATTTCATATGAGTCGCTCCATACAGAATGATCTTTCGGAATCCTCAAACTTGTGAAGCTGTGTAATCTTATGGTTAGAGCTTAAAAACATTTTGTAAATCACATAAAGTTGCATCTGATAAAGTGATAGTGGGACTTGTTGCTAAGGAATAAGAATTTTCTTTAAATGGACAGAGCTAAAATATAATGTTTCTATGAAAATCTATTATCCACCCAACAGATGGCAAGAGCGTATAATCTCTCACAGTAACACATTTTTCTTCTGAAATATGGAGTAGGAGAGTAACTTGATTGCTGGCTGGTTATTTTGAGGTATGTAGCAGAGGGTGTACATGTTTGGTTTATGAAAATTACTCACAACAGCAGACTGAGGCTGTAGTTCTTACTAAGGCAGTAAACCTGGGTCTGAGCTGTATTCTTCTGACTGCTGGTGGGGGCCCAAAATAATTGATCATCAAATGTTTCCCAATATAAAACTATTCTTTCTGCGTAGCAGATTGGTAGGACTGCAGCGTTTAGTTGTTAAATTGTTTCCATTAATCTTTTATTAAACTTTGAATTGTCCTCAATTAATTGGGCAACATGTTTTTCAATTAAAATTGAAAATATTTTAAATAGATTGGATCCAAAGTGGAAAGATGACTAGGTCCAGCTCTACCATTAGACAGAGTGAGGCGAATGCCTCAGGCGGCAGCCCTCTAATTGTTCCTTTTAAGCCCTCTTGCCACTCTCCTCAGTTTGAGAACAGAGTTGCGCATGCCTCATGGCCTAGCCTACTCCCCCTTTTCTTTTGACTGAAGCAGCAAAATGTCTTGCTTTCCCCCTGCACATCTCCAAAAAAAAAGCCTTTCCAGATGGCCAGGACACTCCTCAAGGGTGAGGGCTATGTCCCAGGGGACTGCAGTAGCAGAAACGAATTGTCCCAGACTTGGCAGAGGCACCACTAGCAAGACTGTAAAAATCCACCTGTAAAAATATCATTTGGGGGCTCAGCGCCACTTGTGATCAAACCACATTGGCTTCTTGTTTCGTTTTGCTTTTTTAGCAAAGTAAAATAGGACATGTTTTATCCTTTGGAGCATACTTTGTCTCAGGAGGAGGATATGTGGCTAATCTTATGCCAAATAAGATGTCACGTAATGTTTGGTGCAAACGAGAAGCAATCTCACAATAAGATTTTTTGGGGGGAGGGTTATTTGAGTGTTAAATCACAATGTGCTGCTTTTTCCTATTGGAAGACTGCTGGGTTTTTTAAAGCAAAGGAAGCCATCTCCCAGCCATAGTATGCCTAATTCTACGTACAAGCACTACCATTCTCTATCCATCTGATAGGCACATATTAAAGCCAGTGTTTGGGGATATAGGGGTGGGAGCTCCAAGTTGATGATTGTTTTGAGTGTCATTAACTTTCTCCCTCTGTCACACTCACCGGGTGAGGGGCCATTGGTTTCTTCTGTCTAAACTTATCCTAATTATTAGTCTCGTAAATCAGTGCACCATACAGCTGTCTTAAACTGGTCTTGGAGACCTTATCCTGATCGGTCCTGACAACTGTAAGCTACTGTTTCCTCACACTGTTTAACTCGGACCACATTTGGCAGCCTCTTCTGCCTCCACTTCCAAGGTCGGATTGGTATCCGTCTGGTTTAAATCTAATGTTTTGTGTTGTCTCGCTGACTGGCCATGCTCTGGATACTAACTTTGATGATTTCCCTCCCTCCTCCCTTTCGTTTGCCTGTTTCCTTGATAAGTATTTTGGGGGGCAAATGGCTGCATATTGTTAACACCATTATCCATTCTCTCCCCCACCCCCACCCCCTTTCTTTAAAACATTCATCAGTCAGAAGCTTTAAAGTTTTATTAGTACTATAAAAAACTCTTCACAAATGAAATTGCTTTTGATAAGTGTTCATTTTGACAATGAGAATTTGCTAAGGGCTGTTGCCAAGTTGAAGGAATTTGTGTTTTGAAACTGAAATTGGCAGGAAGTCGAGAGTCCAGGCACTTTCTTGCTTTCAGTCTGTCTGAATTTCTGTCTCTGGCCCAATAAAAATGTTTTATTTCAGCAACTGCTCAATTATTCAGAAGGAAAACATTGTTCAGATGCGCTTACTTTTTCTTCCACGTTTTCTTGTGTGTGTGTCAGTTTGAGCATATATGTTTGGATTTGTTTATTTCAAATTGCTTCAGTAAAAGCAGAATGCATGTGTGCCCTTTGTGGGAGATTTTTTACTCCTGCAATTATCCTGCTCTTCCTTCAACGTTTCTGTTATAAGTTAATGGAAAGAAGGAGAGAAGTCCATGTATGGGCAGGTTAGGAGAGTGTATACCACAAAATGCATAAATAAATACAAATAGTAATATTGCTAGTATTTACAAGAACGTATACTGGAGGAAACATTCTCTTAATGTTGACATTTAAGTTTTCCCTTTTGGACGCAACTCAGACCACAACCCTGTGCATGCTTACCTGGAAGTAAGTCCTATTGAACTAAATAGGACCACTTCCGAGAAGAAATACAGGGAATTTTGTGCTGTTAGCAGAGTATATATTAGATTCTTTCCAGTCATATAATTTCCCCACAAAATTAGTAATGATGACTTAGAAATGGAATATTAAAGACATTGGGTCCATTAAAATCATAACACGCTGCATCAGTTTAATGGCTTTTCATTATTATTTAAAAGATGCTCAAGATTCAGAAAACTGCAATAAATGTACAGTAGAATGTGAAATTAAGGGTTCTTTTTACTTTTTATCCCCTTTCAACTCTAGGCAGAAGCAAGAATGACTAGTGTGAAAGCACTTGAAGAATTTGAGTTTGGTCGGACTGAGAAGTGTGTTAGGATCAATTCGGTATCCAGTGGTCTTGCTGAAGAAGATATAAAGGTCATTTTGCAATCCAAGGTTCTCCCTACAAGCCTGATGCTTCCAAAAACTGAAAGTGTCGAAGAAATAAGATGGGTGAGTAAATTGGGATTCGTCACTATCTCAGCATTAGATTAAGATCTTTGCTACTTTGTTTAGAAAGAGGAGACTTTGGGACTTGTGGATTTAGCTCATGAGGCAAGTAAGAAATATCTCTAGCCACTAGTTGAATTCATCCTTACCATCATCTGCTTATTAGTAAACATTAATCAATCAATCAATCAATCACTCCTAGAAGCAATCAATCAATCAATCAATCAATCAATCAATCCTAGAAGCCTCTTGCATATATTAAGCAAATTTGGCCCATATTTCAAAGAACAACCATTTCAGGATAAGAGGTGTAGATTGAAATTACATGCAGAACGTGTGTTTTAATTTTTAAGTAGAATTAACTGGCTTGCATACTGCTTTAATAAGCTGTGCTGCCATTAAGGCAAAGTAAAAATGTTTTAAAATCAGACCAGTTTTTTTCATTGTAGCAAAACCTCACTGACTGTCATGTAAACGTATAGCGTACATGCCCTGGAAGTTGGAAACCATAAGTAGATGGAGGAAACATTTTAGCAACATATGAAAAAATTATGGTGGAGACAAAAAGTAAAGGTCACTCCTTAGGGCAACCAGAAGAACAAACAGGAAGCTTTTAACTAGTGTTTTTAATTAGCACAGATATTATTTCCTGTCCAGTTCTCTATTTCTTCCTTTTTAATTGCTGACAGGTGTGTTTGCGTTTCATGGCTGACTTTTCAGCCTATAAAAACCTGAAATGTAAATGGTTGGCATGTCAAATTACTTAAGAAAACTTTGAAATGGGCCTAATTATGCTATAATTGTTCAAATTGTTAAGGAGGGATAAGTTTTATTTAGTGATACCATTATTTCTGAAAAATACCACTAAAGTCGTAAGGCTTCTTTATCCTGTTTTCATAGTTTGGGGAACACTGAGGGAGAGATCCATAGAAGGTCTATAAAGAAAAACAAAACTAGATAAATCTGGTAGTTTGTATCCTAACTAGTTCCACATCTAACCCTAAACTTATCTTATTAGCCTTTAAGGTTCCATAAGGCTCTTGGCTGTTTTTGCATACCCAAGACATTATGGGTAACATTGAACTCCCATTGACGGCTGTTAAATTCATTACATGTTAGTGGTGGGGCAGGAAACACAACCTTTTCAGAGGCTGGGAAAACTGAAGTCCAGCTACGTAGAAACATCCAAAAAGAATAGTTCTGTTTTCAGTAACGCTGTCTCCAAAGTGGCACGTTCTTTTACTAAGGAAGATCCACAAGGCCTCTTTGTTGATTTTGTACAGCGGACTAACACTTCTGGAGTTTGCTGGTTATGAATATTCATCTTGCCATTCCAGCGAAGGCCTTTGGTGTTACCCAATATGTTTTACCTTGATGTGAGAACTTCAGGCTTTCTTTCTAATTCATGCTAAGAGGAACATGCTCCTCCACGTTACCTCATCTCTGATTTTTTTAAATTTCCAACCGTTTCCCCTTCTGGAAATAAACCAGCGCCAACCTTTCGACACTTCCCCTACCTCTGTTAAAGTCTTCTGTCTAGGGAGACCGATCAAGTTCAGTGATATTTTTGGCTTTGTTTTAAGTGGCTAGTGAAATGGAAAGCTACCTCTCTTTTTTTTTTTTCTTTTTTTTTTGCTGTTTATTTTTTCCCCTTCATTTTTATTTATGTGAAGCATAAAACCTGGAGGCTGATGCACAACTAAAAGATGGGCTTACTTGTTTTCTTTTGTGTGAGAATCTCCTGCTTCCCTTTTGTCCCTAGTGTGGGTACTTGTTTGACTGGCATGGCTTATTGGACTATAACAAGCGTAACTCTCGCTCCTTTGTCATGGGACAATTCTCCCACAAATCCTGAACAGTGGGCATTCTTCCCCACACACTATCGGGTGTGCACTGGAATTGAAAGCATTGCTAAGGCCGGCTACTTCATCCCCTCCCAGAGCTTTGTTTTCCCCCCTCCCCCTTTTTTCCTCTACCCCCTCTCACTGAAATGAAATGAACACTTTACCAGGCCGGAAACATTTAATCGTCTCCTTTTGAAAAAAATTAATTGAAACTTCTCAACTAGTTGCCTTTTGTTATTTGGTGCTTAAAAAAAAAACAATTAAAAAATTGGAGGAAATGGGGGACAAACATTGCTCGATTAAAAAAACTCTCCCTTGCAAGTTGCAAAATAAAATGCATTAAAAAGAAAGATTTAAATAAACAAGCAAACAGATGGGTGTGTGTTTTTTATTTTTCAATGGCTTAGCACACAAAAGGGTTGCCAAAATTAACCATACCTGTTAAATTGTTTTGTTTTGTTTTGTATTTTTAATTATCAAGGGCAGACAAAGGCAAATGTTGGCTTTGTTTTATTATTACCGTGCTGTGATTTTGTGCACCTTTCCTTGGGAGTAAGCCCAGCTGAACACAATGGGGCTTACTGCCACGTAAACATGGGTAGGACCGGGCTGCAAGTGTCTTCTCCACCCCTCTTGCAATTCCTTTGCATTTCACGCCATACATTTGAATGGCAGGCTCTCTCTTAATTCCTTATATATATTCTGTTGCACACCAGCCTGTGGAAAGGTTTGACAGGCAACTGTGGCAGCAATGACGACACCACAGGCACACACACACACACACACACACACACACACACACAGAGTGAGGATTCACCCTCCAAAAAAAACCCCAGCATTGCAGCAAGGTATGATTTATTTTGGGCTTAATGTAAAGTTACTGCAAATTGGTTGGAAGCTTTTTAAAGATTTCGGTGATTAGATTTCCCTTTCTTTTGGGGAGGGGTGAAGTTGGAGGGGGAGCTAAAAGAGGAAATAACACCTCTAATCCAGCTTCTGGTAAATAGGCTGCCAGCTTTTAAAATGAGTTTCCTTTCTATTAGTCAGAATATTATGCTAAGCCTTAAGCATTAGTTTTTTATGTTGCCATAGCAGCCTTATTCCTGCAGGGTTGTGACCTGCGATGATTACAGTACAAAGCTTATAGGGTCTTGAAACCCCCTTTGAAGATGAAAAGTCTTTGATGGTTTATATTTATGCAAATCTCTTAGATATGATTTACCCAACTGAGACTGAATGGAGAGATGATTAAAATTCCCTTTTCCTTTGATATCCATTAATGGTTAAATATTCCTTAAATATAAAATTGATGCATTTCCCCCCCCCCCGTCTTTATTGACTAAAATTTCTTTAGCATACCTGTGATATGTTTATCTCCCAACACATTACTAGATCTAGACAGACATAATAGATTTACAATATACAGAGGTAGCTTTTCCTCCCCCTCCCTTCTCTTTTGAAAGGGAGAGAGAGGGAGAGAAAAAAAATCTGTACAAGAGCTTTTGTAATGTTTCCAGATGATAGATTTTGGAATTTGGGCTACCCCACCGGCAGCTCAGAGCTAGCTGTGAACTGGTCTCATGGAAAAAATTGGAGAGCTTTGGTCTTCAAAGAATTAAACTTCCTTTTTAAAGGCCCTTCCTAGGTAAGCTAAAAAAAAAATTATGAAGAAAAGACCTCTGGAACAAAGGGTGACGATGCCATAATGAATAATGTGAGTCCCACTTTGGAAGGCTGGGGAACATTCACAGCCATTGTCAGTGTCAGACATGAAACAAAACAGAATGTCAGGTATATCAATTCTACTTTGTTTTTAAGAGCCTGCTGATTTGCATTTAACTAAGTCAGGGTGATAGGTGTTAGGCAAATATTTTTGCAATTAAAACTTCACACTCCAAAATATACAGTAATGCGGGCATTCTAAAGGAGATAGGCCTAAGAGAACAGACCTCTTTGAAAGCTTGGCAGAGTTTTCTTTTTTATTTATCCCCGCCCCCCCCCCTCTCAGCACTCCAGGCTTTGTTTTCTCTGTTTATTTGTATTTCACTTCAATGGAAAGTTTAGGTAAGTCGTACCATTTTATAGATTTTATTTTTTTATAAAAACGAAACTGATCATTTCCCTCTGCGGTGCTTAGTTTACAGAGAAATTTGCACACCATTTAAAAGGCCGGGTACTTGTAGAACCTATGAATTTCCTCCCTTTTGTGGAAACAGCAATGGGCTTACTCAATTTTAAGGTAAGAAACATCAATATAATTTAGCTGGCATTTCTGCTTAAAGCCATATATCAATTGAATAAGTCACATAACTGGAAAAAGGTGGGTTAAAACACCACTCCATTTTGTATTTTATATGAATGCATTTATCAGCCAAAATATTTGCTGAAATTCCAGTGCCACATAATACAGTCACATCCTACATAATAGTTCTCTTCTGTCCTATTTTGGCATTTCTTTTTTATTTCCTTTAAATCCAATAAACATGTGTGAAAAGATATAGCGGCTGTCAAATTTTTATTATTATTTCAGGAGTCTTATTCTAATATCTTAAAAGCACCTCTTCTATGAAGTTCTGAAAACTGATAACATTTACAACCACACACAGAGAGCCCTTTGCAGTCAATGGTAAAAAAGTACCTTCTGTTTTCTACAGCCTAATACTGGATAGGCACACAAAAATGGCATTAAGGATTGTGGAGTTCTTTTTCATCTGCCCTCCAAAAATGTTATTTCTTTTCTCTTCCTGCATCTTTTGCAATGTGAACTTGATGTTGATCAAATCCATGCAAATGGCCTCCTATTCTTGGCATCCAGCCTGTGTGTTTCTGTGGAGGAAAGATATTAACAATGATGAAATTGAAACTAGAGTGCGCCACAGCCATGCCAAGGTTTCCTGGAAAAGTTTTGTGTTATTAGAAGGAGCTGCTGGGAGGCCCTTGTGGCTACCATGTTGATAGGCACCGCATTTTTAACAGCATGTTTGAAAGATAGTTTTCGGCTTAAATTTAAAGGATTTCTAATTACACATGTTCATATCTAGCCAAGATTTTACTTACTGGTTTGGTTTTTATTTTCAAATTCACACACACAAAAAGAAAAAGCGTTAGTAAAGTCAGCACCGAAAAATACCAGCTAGCATCCAATATCCTGGTGCAACAGGATTTGTATGAACCACAGTGTATAAAAATAGGTATATTTGCAACAGTAATCATAATAAAATAAACTGTAGCTCTGTGCTTTGGCAGGCAAATTCTAGCTAGCTATGAAGCATTTCAATTTGCAACATTACTTTTTTAAAAAAAGAACAATGATTACACAGACATTACAAAGATTGATACATTTAACAAATCCCAAGGTGTTGCTTTTTAAATTATTTTCTTTGCTACTTGTTGCACCTTATATATCCTAGAATTGTATTAGTTTCATTGTGTAGTTTTACCATTGGTTAGGAGCCCCACCCTACTCTGCCCATTAAATAGTGATTAGAAGATTGCATCCGCCATGACGGTCCATCAGCAATGTATTAAACCAAAGATACTCCAGTCATAGTTCTATGCAGGTATTATTCATGGGGTGCAGGAAGGATTCTTAAGCTATATGCAGTGTCCACTTTTGTAAATATAACAGACTGTTTACAGTTATCATTCAGAGGTTGTTGGCGCATGACAAAGCTTTGTCCTGAATGCAAGGACAAAAATGTATATATGTATTCTGTGCTTTAAGCTATACTGGATAGATCTGCATTGAAAGTATACTTTTTGTGCAGATGTGTAATTTGTTATTATTACTTATTTCTCACACATTATGCAAGAAGGGTCTTGACAGCAGACCCTGTCCCCAAGGAATTAATGTAACTGTATCTTTCTGGTAGGGAAAATGATTTTAAACAGCCTGCTGCTTGCGTTTAACATTTTTGTTCCATTTAAAGGAAGTTTGCGAAGCAACTCTGAGGAAAGGACCCCAAATTGGCCTTCGCTTGGATGGAGTCGTCTTTGGAGGCGAGGATTTCCGTGCCAGCATAGGTGCTCCCATCCCTCCCCCTTTTAAATTAACAATACAGTATTATAATAACAGAACGGCCACAATACTAACAACAACAATAAGATATTCTGCCACAGACCTACACGTACTGTCTCATTTAGCCCACTAAAATCAGCGGGATTAAATACATCTAACTCTTTGCAGGATTGTGGCCGTTATTTTAAAAAATGGAGCCTACTGCTCTGCCTTTACTAACTTAGCAGGTATACATTTATTTGTGTTGTCTCCTGTACATCTTCCTAATTCAGTTGTCATTTTTTGAAATCTAAAACCTATTACAGCTGTGCTTTTACAGAAACATATTCTGCTTATTGCTCTCCAACCAAAAAATTAAATGCAGTGACTGCTGAAATCACGAGACTAATTTTGTAATTTTGGTGCACAAAGAAGCCTATTGTTAATACTGTAGATAGTTTTAACAATCTCTTGCATGCTTAGTTCTGTTTTAGTGCATCCATCTTAATACTTCCTCAGTGCCTTTCTGCCTTGTGATGTCACAATTTATCCAAAAACAACGTCAATGTCAGAATCTCATTTCTGTATTACGTTGCTATGACAGATATATCTGCTAAATATGCACCTTCTGATCTGATTCATCTAATCAACTTTCTGAGTGCAATTCACATAAACGGAAGCAATATTTTAAATAATGAGGCATAACAAAGCCTTCATTTATTCCTGATAAGATGGCAAGCAAGGTCAAAACAGTGATGCTCAAGACAAGAGAACAGATTATTATTTTTTCACACAAGTGTACATGTGAGAATAGATGCATTAGGAGGTATCAGATACTCTTTGGGTTCAGCAGATTTTGTGGATGCTTTTTTAAAAAAAAATCTCAGGAGTCAATCATAGTTATCGGATGTTTCATCCAAGCATTTGAGCATGAACATTTATCTTGGGCTAAAATTTCAACTCAATGGAGTTCTTTCAAAGTAATGTGTGTAAGATCAAAATACTAGACTGAGACAGAAATCTTTTTTAAAAAACAAAACAAAACCTAAAGCTGTATTTCTACCACTTATTTCAGCCCCACTGAAATAAATGGGACTACTCTAGATTAAATGGTTGTAACATCTCAGCGGCCATCAAATTGGTGCTTTTTGGTGCGATACATATTGATATCAGCAAATTGCTACAGATATGCAGAAGCAAATTAAAGGTGTTACTATTAGTACCGGTAACTATGAAGTGGTTAAGAGCTTGGGACCAATTTATCTGAAGGATTGTCTTACCCCTATATATGTCCACTCAGCTCCTTCAATCTGCTGAATCAGTGCCGTGTAACATTCGATCCACATGTTCAATCATGGTTCGGTGTGGCAGCACCTATCTACTGGAACTCCCTGCCCATTGATATTATTAGACAGGTGCCTTTTCCGTCTTGTTTTTGAAACTTGCTAAAAGCTTCATTTAGGCAAGTCTATAAATTTGACATTTATTTTAATGTGCATTTTATTACGTATATTTTTATACTGCTGATTACATCTACACGTTAAGAATTTCTAGGTCAACTCATCGGATTTTCTTAAAAGATATATTTTATGCCCACTTAGAGGCTGTGCTGATTAAGCAGTATAGAAATAAGTGTTCAGTAAAATAAATTTAAAAACCTAATTCATATTTCCTATTAAAGAAAAGCACGATGGGGGGGGGGTGTCGTTTGGCAAGATCCAGAAGGAAGAGCATCTTCAAATGCAATCTCCAACCCTTATTTGTGGCTCAGTTGGGCTCAACCATCTTTAGGTTCCCACAAACCAGCTCGGCTGAAGACATTCCTGTCCTGTGTGACTTGCTCAGCCAGCCAAGCCAAGGCCTGTGCAAGCCCCCCCCCCCAAAGGGCATTCTGGGGCATGGCAGGGGCAGGACAAGAGAGAAGGGATTCAGGCTGGATCCTAAGTCCATTCAGGTCAGTCACGTGCCTTGGCAATCCAGCATAGAATACTACAGTATTTTAATGGTTTGTTTTCCCTCTGCCTGGCTTAGGGAATGGGGTTTGGATCTGGTGATACTTTCTGCTGGCTGAATTTGCACCAGCTTCTTGTGCACAGGATTGCTCCCTACACAGAGCTTAATGCTCGGGCACTAGGGCTTGATTTTTTAAAAAGGACCAACGTTTCATTTCAGAAACAGAAAGAAAAGGGTTTTTTTGCAGAAGCAGCTTTAATATTTTGTCTCCAGCAACAAAATATCCTTGCAGCTGCTGCACAGAAATTTGAGGAACAAAGCTCTTCAATTTTTTCCTGCCTGTCTTTCGGGAAAAGGACGACAAAGGTAACGTTAAGTAAATTTCTGCTGCGAATATTTTTGAAAAAAACCAGTTTTCTCAACTGTCCGCTATTTCTTTTCAGGTTCAACAAGTAGTAAAGAAACCCACGATATTCTCTATGCCAGGCAAAAAATTGTTGTCACAGCAAAGGCTTTTGGCTTGCAGGCCATTGACCTTGTATATATCGACTTTCATGATGAAGAGGGACTCCGTAAGCAGTCAAGAGAGGGTGCCTTAATGGGTTTTACCGGTATGGCTTTTACAAAAATATATATATATAGTGTGTGTGTGTGTGTGTGTTTGCTTGTTTGTTTTATACTGAAATAACTAACAAATGGGAATCATAATAATTGCTAGCAGGTCCAAAATACTGAAATTCAGCAGGGACAACCAGCACCACCCAACCAATATTCAAGAATATATATAGAGAGAGCTGCAGCTTTCTCACTTCTGCATTTATGTTCTCAAATTTAAATTCGCACTAAAAGATGGGAGGAGGTGTGGTTTATACATATCTCCCCTTAAAGCACCCTGCTTTCACAAGAGAGCACCCACAATCATCCCTTCCCCCCCCACACACACACTACCCATAAAGATTTAAAAACAAGACTCCCTTCACCCTTGATTTAAAATGTATTATCTCTTCTCCTTAATCATAAAACAGACGTGTTCTGCAGCACAGACCCCCTGTTCGTCTCCTTACGCTGACTGGTGGAGGAGCAGAGAAGTCCTAACGCTATAAAATGTTTTCACAATTACTTTTGCCTGTAAAACGGCAGGCGGAAAATTCCAAGTGCAAAACTAGGCCCTTAAAGAGTCTTTCAACAAGTCACACCCAAGTGCGTTACTCTTTTTATGATTTAAGGAAAGTAAAGTATAAATGAAGGCTGCGGTATAAACGTAGAACCCTCCTGCTCTCGCAGGTTAGAGGAAACACAATATCGGCTCAAAACCTTGCACACCACTCAGTTTCCAATTCATGTATGCCTGTGGGTGTACATTTATGCAAAAAATAAAATAATGCTGCTGTTGCATTTTGGGAATCACATTTTTTAAAAAGCGTTTTTAACAAATTGGAATAAAACCTCCTCTACTTCTAACATCTGCTAATCACAGCTATACATTCATTTCTATAAATGGTCAAAAATCCTGATAGTCCACATTTTTATTATGAAGTGCTGGAGCTTAAAACACACACACACACACACACACACACACACACCGCACAACAACAACCCGATATGCTAATTAGGCTATGATAGTTATTTTCTTGTCAGTCTTTCCTTTGAGTTGCTTTCCCCAATTCTGGCTTGCTTCCCAGTAATTGCCTGTTCACCTGATGGTACTGGCAAGGCAGTGCGATCAGCAGGCTTCTTGCAGCCAATCCCTGTAACACAGACATTTCGCCAATGATTGGTGCGCTAGATCATGCAGGCGCCCCTATGAGATGCGATACATAACAAAGATTGCAGCTTTATGATAGGAATCAGCTACTTGGCTTGCATACAAAGATTACAGCGTTCTTTAAAGAACAGCAGTACCAATGTTTCAGCGATACCTTTCAATCAGGATGGGTATGTGACACTTTTACAGATAGGCAGGTCTGTAAGACTGGGGAGCAGGGACCTCTCTGAAGCTCTTAATCTAGTAAGAAGTGCATTCTTAAAATAAAAAGTTCAAAATCCCTCTTGGTTTCTGGAGGAAATGCAACTTGAAGAACCATTTAAAGCACCAACCTAGCTATCAATAATGAACAAGGAGAAGGAGACTTGTGGCAACTTAATGGTGTTATCGCATTTCAGCTTCTGTCCCTGAAAGCTTGTGCCATAATAAATACGTTAAGTTTTTAAACTGCCACAAGACTCTTCCTTGGTTTTGCCGCCAGAGAGAGATACTTGCCAGAAATATTATCAAGAACAGGCTAATACTCTTCCATCCCAAATACTACTACAAGAATTACTTGGGGCACTATCCAGACACAAGGCATGCATCAAAATGCCTACTGTTTCCTTTACCCAACCAACCAACTTTCAAGGCTTTGTCACACTCCTGTTAAAGTCAATGGCTGAAATCCAAAATGGTACACATGCACAAAAGCTTATTTGCTCTCAACGGTCTGCAGCAGATTAGAATACCACTTGAAGACTCCCTCCAAAAGTTGGAGGCCCTTTGGACCATAGCAACACAGAAATCTGTCTTCTATCAGGCCAGAGTGTTGGTTCATCTAGACCAGTATGGACTGTGTACTAAGAGGCAACAGCTCTTCTGGGTCTTTGTCATCACCTATTTGTTTGTTTTTAACTGGAGATACCAGGGATTGGAGCTGGAACCTTCAGGAAATGACTGAGCTATGGTTCCTTCCCATGTGACAAGGAAGTGCTACTGAAAGCTTTTAAAAAATTATTCATCATCCCCTCTTATGAGCACAAAAATGCTTTGTATGTTTGCACAGGCCCCTTTAGAGCCTGAATACTGAAAATGTAGTAATAGGTCACTCGGCCCATCACCTGCTCTTGATGAACCAAGTGTTGACAAGCCCAAACTATCTTATTCCAGACTAAGTAAAGTGTATCCTGGTTATGTTTCTCAAATTCACTAACATCACTATTCCACATGATTTGGAGTGAACACAATAAATTATGATAACTTTCTACTTGTGAAAATGAAGCAAGCAATATGTCTCCAAAGTGCACAGTTTTGGAGGTATGCCGCTGCCTATATAATATCAAGATCACTAGACCCAGGTTAAGTGGACAAGGTGAATTTTAGTTAACCTCGTGCTCACACAATCAAAGCAGTTTAAAATGTGATAAAAGGCTGGATTCCCCTACCCCAGCAGCCTTCCACTTAATGTTTTGGGGAGCATATAATCCTTTATGTAATACATTTTTATTCTGGAATAATTAATATGGCGCACTGCAAATTCAGCACCATTTTGAAGGATCGTGTTTTTGAAGGATCTTGAAAGGAACAAATTCTCCCTTTTCACCTCCCTCAAATCATCTTGACTAAAATGTGTTAAGCCGTAACCAATCTGCATAAATGCTCTTGTAAATGGCCTGTCCCAAAGTCATAAATTTAAATTTTCTACTATGAACATATTGGCATTTTCATCTATTCAAATTAAAAATAGCTTATGTTGCTAAAAGGCATGATGAATACTTTCTGTTGAAGTTACTAGGATTTCTATGTGATAAGCACTGCTCCACGTAGCAGCTGCTATCATGTGAGGAGCTGTTCCAGTGTGGATTAAATACATTTCACTATGCCACTGCAAACTTTTATTTACCCTCATTTGCCGTGGCATGGAAAAACTAACACCATCTGTGGGGTAAACCACTTTACACAAATGGCTCGTCATATGATAACAGCCACCACCTACAGTGATTTGAAGTGGAGTGGCAGCTGCTCTGAGAGATCTGCTTATAGGGCAAGATAGAATTTTTTATAATAATAATAAAAAATAAACCAGTAAATAAATGTTGACAAGCTTCAAGGCAGGATATCTAAAGCAAAAACAGATGAGTGGTGTTTTGCTATTTACTCAGTGAATCCCCATTCATCCCAATGGCACCTGTGTATGAATAGAGTTAAGGGCACAGAAGATCACTAAATTGTGCCCTTAGCTGTTATCTGTGGGATATTCGCAGGCAAAAACACGTGGGTCTCGAGAGGATTAAATATAATTAATATAATATATCCTCCTACCAATCCCTATCATTATCAACCTTTTTGTCATGCAGAACTGAATGAGCAAAGCATTTCATAAATGTTCATCTGTCTAATGCAAGATGGCAGGGATAGTGTTTGTCCAAAACATTGCTGGACATCAACCCCAGCTGGCATGGCCAACGTTCAGGAGTTTTTGAACTTGTGGTCCTAAACATCTGGAAGGCCTGAGGTTGGGGAAGGTTAATGTAAAGATTCTCCTGTACAGTCATACCTCGGGTTACAGTCGCTTCAGGTTGCGTTTTTTCGGGTTGTGGACTGCCGAAACCTGGAAGTACCGGAACAGGTTACTTCCAGGTTTCAGCGGTCGCACATGCGCAGAAGCACTAAATCGCTCTTTGCGCATGCGCAGAAGCGTTGAATTGCAACCCATGCGTGCGCAGACACAGGTTGCGAATGCTGCGGGTTGTGAACGTGCATCCCACACAGATCACGTTCACAACCCGAGTGTCCACTGTAATGTAATAATCAGATTAGCCATTTGAACACCCCCCCAAGAGTTATCTTACCTCTAGCAGTTCATGATAATTAGCAAACCAGCCATCCCTAAATCAAAATTTAAAATATACTCACAAAGGAGAACTCTTTAGCATAAACCTCCTCTACCTCCTCTCTCTTGTTTGGTTATGTTCATAGCTTTTAGAAATGCCTTTAATCCTATGTAGAGTTAGGCCTCTCTGACTCTAGGATTAAGCTAAAGGTTAGTCAGCTGTATTAGTCAATGTTATATCCAGACAGGTGTAGAGTTGTTGCCAGAGTGCTCACTGCTTCCCATGCCCTTCGGTAATGTGTGGATGACAATTATATTTGTATAGGAAAGAACTTAATTATTGGCCCTACAACCACATTAGCATTGGGGAAAGCCACAGAATTATGGCTCCAACACCTAATTGAAGAAATATATGAATTTGTCTCCCAGGTTTTCACGCAAAAGGATATAAAAATGTGTTTTCCAAACGTTACAAGCAAAACATTCAACAGTGCCTAAATTCAATCTCTCACAATGTTTAGTCCACACATCAACCGTTCAAAAGGGATCACTTCTCAAAAGTGAGAAGTGCCTTAGTAAAATATTTACAATATGACTATGGTAGACTTCATGCAACATGACCATGAAGTTTCATTTGGCATCCCCTAAACGATTATGTTTCTTGTATATGGAGCAATCCTATGCACGAGAAGCTGGCCTAAAGCAAGCCGGTCTAAGTTAAGCCAGCATAAATTTACACCAGATCCAAAACCTGTTCAGCAGGGGGGCTGCTGCAGCTCTGCCTGAGTCTCACAGGGGAAAAACAAGCCTTTAAGTGCATATACCAGGCCATGTGACCAAGCTGAACAGCCTTAGGCAGGGGCAAAAGTAGACTTTATTTCAAAGACCCAGTTTGGCACACACACCCCTGCACATTTGTGTACACACACACACACACACACACACACACACACACAGGCTGGAAGCCTCAGTGACACCCCTCTGGAGGCTTAACCCAGGGCAAAAACACTTGGCTAGCCCCCCCCCCCCAGCTACAGCTCTGCCTTAGGATCCAACCAGTGGACACCCCGAAACACTCCTTTGCGGGGGACTTACAGCAGTCTTGAGGGACGCGGGTGGCGCTGTGGGTTAAACCAAAGAGTCTAGGACTTGCCGATCAGAAGGTTGGCGGTTCGAATCCCCACGACGGGGTGAGCTCCCGTTGCTCAGTTCCTGCTCCTGCCCACCTAGCAGTTCAAAAGCACGTCAAAGTGCAAGTAGATTTCCAAGACAACAATGCCCATTTACACCACAAAGAACTCATAACCCACCTACTTTCAGCAGCCAGAAACACCATAACCAGACACTGGAGAGACCTGTCAGGAGTAAGCATGGACCAATGGTACCAAATAGTATGGGAAACAGCCCTACTAGAAAAATTAACTAATAAACTGAAACTGACACGGGGACAAACAGAAGAAGAGACCTTCACCCCGGTATGGCTCCCCTTTATCACATATACAGCCCAACAGGACAATGACAATAATCCACCAACAGCATACAAATCAATATGGCTAACCTGATCCAAAACACACACCCACCTCACTCACACACGAAAACAAAGATCACCACAGCCAATCACAAGCAAACAATCACACCCTAGGCCAACCCCAACCTCTCTCACCACCAAAGGAACACAAGTGAACAACACAAGCACGCTGACACCAAACTCTACATACATTAAGCATAATAGAAACACCGCTACCCGACCCCACCCCCATCCATCTCCCCTCCCTCCACCCCCCTTTCTTTTCTTTTCTTTTCTTTTTTTTTCTTCTCCCCCTAATGCCTCAACAAATGAAACAGATTTGTAAAAATGTTACATGGGGGGAAAAAATACGAGGCATTACACTTACACTGTAAAACAAGAAAACCCTTAATAAAATATTTATTTAAAAAAAGGTGCAAGTAGATAAATAGGTACCGCTCCGGCGGGAAGGTAAACAGCGTTTCCGTGCGCTGCTCTGGTTCGCCAGAAGTGGCTTAGTCATGCTGGCCACATTACCCGGAAACTGGATGCCGGCTCCCTCGGCCAATAAAGCGAGATGAGCACAGCAACCCCAGAGTCAGTCACGACTGGACCTAATGGTCAGGGGTCCCACAGCAGTCTTAGCCAAGCTTCAACTGAGCTGGGATAAGCTTGTTACTCCAGCATCCTCGCCCAGCTGAGCCAGAGGTCCGCTGCATCCTAAGCTACTCACCCCCGCGGATCTTGCCATAGGATTGCACCCATGTTTTCAGCCATCATTTTGAAGAGCAGTTGTTGTTTTTAAAGGGTCTTGTTTCCTGGTAGTTTACCACTTACGAGTCTGCGTAACCCACAAGTTTTATTTCGGGATGCTTTCTGTATAAATGTCTTATAGGCTGTAATCATGTTTACATACATAAAAATTGTAAACCCTGGAATGACACTTTAACAGCTGACTTAGTCATTATAGCTACTCCATTGCAACATGCTGGGAAGCTAGATATAAATATGAAACACTATAGGGTCCCCCCTTTTTTTTTTACAATCTTTTGTAGAAGACAAAAAATGACACCATCATAGAATTACATAAAAGACTTGACAGGTATTGATTTAAAGCATGATATATCAAATGGTACTGCAAAAAGGATTTCATGGCCATAAATTTTAATGCCTTCCAACTCTGCAATCTCTCTCTAACTTGTCAATAACAACTGTTTGGTTTATAATATTTCCCTTGTTTCTCCATGACACTAAGGTCCATTATACACTTGTTTGGGTACACAAGGTGTAACAAAAGGCAACCGAGGCCATAAATCAAATGGTGTTTTATTTTATTTTTTACTGAGGTCACACATTTAAACAGGTTAAAGCCCTCACATTATATATCATCACTGCAAAATACCTTTTTTTTAAACTAACTGACCAGTATTTCAGGACTTCTTTCTCACTTTGTCTTTAAATGTATATTTTCTATATTTTGTAATGAACTACTTATACGAAATTCAGTTTCTAAATTTACATTTTGTCTATTACAAGTAAAGCAGAATAAAATCTAAAAACTATGGTATATTCACCATAGTGGTATAATTTGAAATTTCTCTCAATTTTAGAAAATGACACTTCTTTCTGCAGATGGAACAGATTATTGAATTACACTAATTTATTCGATGTAATTCCTCTTTTAAAATTAGGATTTTTAAAGATGTGAAACTTATGAGAGAATCTCAATCTCACGTTGTGAATATTCAGCTTGCAAAAAGTGAAAATGTAATTAAAAATGAAATATGATGAAGCATCTTGTGGTATAACTTTCTAAACTATGTGCCGAAGCTACAAAAAGTACCTTATTTGCATAAAATTGATTTCAGTTTTATATTTATTAGCAAGAATAAAACTGGAAAACATCAAAATTCATTGAACAACAAATCATAGAAATGAAGGCACACATTCTTGCAATTCTTTTTCTTTACTTTCTTATTCATAGTAATTTCCAGGTTTTCATTTGAGCTTCTAATTTTGTGTTGCTTAAATGTGCCTCTCCCTGAGCTGCAAAATTTTTAAATGAATTAACAGATTATGACTTTTTGCTAATTGCTTCCCTGGTTTTGTACCAGCTGAAAATGAGCACATTTCGAAACAGTTTTGGGACTTGCACATGAATGTAAAGTACTTCTGCAAAACAGACACAACTCATTTATGGCAACTGGAAATTTCTGAAATATTGTTTGCGCCCAAAAATAAGAGTCTGAGTTTAACGCTCAATATAATGAGCCATGTCGTTATATTTTTAATGAGGGCAAATCTATTGACAGTTCTTTGCAAAACCTTCCTAAGAGTCTCTTGAAAAAGATTCAGGTGTGGGTGTAAGAATCCATTTTAATGTAACCAAATAAAATATTAGGATACTCATAATATGCAAACATGTATGCAGAAAAGAAAGCTCAACCTGAGTTCTTATTTTGTTGCTATTTTTCTTATTTTGATTTTTTTTTGAAGCCAAGTCCCTTTCTTTCACATGAATAGGTGTAGCATTTTTAAAAAAGTTACTGTATGATTTCCCCTCTACAATTATTCACTGTTAGAAGAATAAAAATGTTCTACAGGAATTCCATTTATTAAAGAAATCTATATTTTTCTCATTGAACATCAAATCGTATTACTTGGGTATTGTCTATTAAGGCTTTCTTAAACTTCAGCACAGCATAGACCGGTTTAATGTAGTTCTAAAAGATTTTTGTTTCTTCTTTTTAGCCTCACTTCCACAAGAAAAGCATTACAGTAGCACAGTACTTATTACTCAGTTTAAAAGATAAACACATGGCGAGGAGAGCACAGAATATCTTACAGAAACCAATAAAATTGTCAAATGAAAAAATCAAATAAATGTGGATTCCTTTTGATTTAATTTTATTTAACTTTTCTGAGCCAGTAGGATGGGACTGGAATGGGGGTCACATTTTAAAAGACACAAGCCCACAGGGAAACTTCCTCTGTGCAAACCCCGCTGGGTGACATGCAACTTCATACAAAAAGACTTCCATTTGATCTCACCACCTTGTTCGCCCAGACCTGTTCTAGAGGATCCATTAGATTTTAGGAAAGGGCAGGGGTTTCACAAGGAATCTGTTCCATCACCGATGTCAATTTCACTGGTGGACAACAAAGTTGGATTTCGCTCACTGATGATAGCCAAATTCTTGAGCACCTCCCATTCATTTCAATGGGGCTTACGAAGGAGAACTTTTTGGTGGATTATAGCCCATATTTGTAAAGGCGAATTTGACTTGCAGATGGGGCAATCTATAAATTTAATAAATAATAAGTTGGTGCAGTATGTTGCTAAAACGTTAATCCTAACACGAGGACAATTTAGGCTGCAATCCTATAAACATGAACCTGGGAATATGCCCCACTGGGAATAATGGAACTTAGTCATGTATTAAGATTGCACTGTTAGAGAATAATTATTTGTAAATAGAAAAACGTGCAAACTGCATAAAAGCTTTATGCTTTGGTGATAGATCTTATTTCCATCATTTCCCTTTTTAACAGGAATAAGGATCTTCTAAAGTCTGGCTATATCTTTTATACTATGTTTGAATAGCTAGCAGGGAGAGGAAAAACCCTGAAATGCTAGTCACATCTATTTTTAAAAAAACAGAGTTGTTATGTCTATTTTTAGCTCATTTAGGGTAAGGAGAAGCATAATTTAACAATGAATGGTGTGTGTGTTTTTTTAAAAAAGAACCACCGAAAAATGAGAGTTGGTGCAGTATTTGAAAGCCTCAAGTGATTGGAACATTTTGCTGGAGCATCTGTTAGTAAATGCTTAACTCTGGGGTTATTAATCTTCTTTGTAGGTAAGCAGGTGATTCACCCTAATCAAGTTGCCGTTGTCCAGGAACAGTTCTCACCAAGCCCTGAAAAAATTATGTGGGCAGAAGAACTTATCACAGCATTTGAAGAGCATCAGCGCATAGGGAAGGTAAACCCCATTTTTCATACTATGTTTCCTTTATATATAATGTTTCAAATGGAAGAAAATTTAAAAGTGTTTTTAAGTTATCATAAAGGGAACATTACATAACATAACATGTATTATATAGAATATACACTAGCGTATATTTACTCCAAAAAAAAGTAACTTGCATTTTGTTGGGAGAAAGCAGCTTTATATCAAAACCTTTTAAATGGCAGTTTCAGTCATGTGTCCCCAGTTTTGCTTCTTGTCTTTCGTCCTTTAAATGATACGTCTTAAATTCAGATGCATTCTAAGAACATGCCTTTTTCTCCATGATTTCCCTGATGCATCAGATTTGTTGGAATTAGCTGGGTTCTTGTTTTCATTTGTTTCCAGTGCTTTTTATACTACTGTTCAGTATAACAGTCGTATTGTGTTGCATTTTTGTTTTAGTGGTTTTGTTTTTTGTTTTTATCTTGTATACCACTTAAGAGATTCTTTTTAAAAATATTAAGCGGTTTATAAATGCTTTTAGTAAATAAACAATGTAGATAGTGCACCTAGGGATCTAGTTAGTTTAATCAACTCAAATAATACTATATCTGACTAAGATCTTTTATAAATAAAAAAGGAAGAAAAAACCCCCATTAATTCTGTGCCGCTGTATTATTTATTAATTCCTCAGACAGCTTTCATTTCCATCTAACTTCAAGAAAATAATCATGTTTGGGTTTTCTTTGTCTTCTTCCCACCCAACTCCTAAATAGTAGAGACCAATTATTGTTTTTTACACTTTGAGAAACTTCTGGGTGTAAAGCTCATTTGTGAGTGAAGTTTTCCATGCTACAAGACTCCTTACAGAATTGGGACACCAGCTGATTGCAAAGTACAGGTGGAAATTTGGAATTATTATTTTTCAGAACTTATTTTTGGACTGGAGGGGTTTTTTGGATAGCAAAGAAAGCAAATTACCTCTCGAATATGATTGTTCCTAATTTAGTGCATCATTGAGTCTCCTGTTTCCTGCTCTGTGGGTTTCTGCTATGTAAACATTGCGGTGGTGAAGCACAATCTGTCTTCACTTTGTGCCAGTAACACTTAAATTAGGGGTCGCCTGAAGGAAAATTTTATGCTCGTTGCAGCATTGTCGGCTAATTATCTTAAAGGTTATTTGCTATAATGTAGTTTGCCACTTTGGGGGGGGGAGGGGCAGGGGAAAGTTGCAATTAAATGTGATTCTTCTAGCAAGAGCCAAAATCTGAAATGGTTATCAAGCCAGCGAAGTTTCAGTGTCCAGAAGTGCAGCAGAGAATGTGTGATTCTTTCTGTGCAATTTACACAATATTTAATTGCCAAGGAAACATCTTTAGCAAATCTGAACGCGCACAAGAGATATTTGTGTGTGTAAATGCATATGCACTTCTTCCTAACCCTTACAAATCCCACTAGATTGCATTGCGAAAATATATGGCGATAGTTTCACATGTTTCTATCCTGCTAGTGCATGCCAAATGACCCATTCCCGCAATATGAAATCCACCATATTTCCATTTTATCATCAAACCTACTCCTTAGAATAAACTGATTGCCACATACCCATAAGGAAGCTTCCCTTCTGTCTTAAGCCATAGTTTATCACATAACTAAAACTCCAATGTCAAACCCAGATGCTATATTAAGGTTTATAGAAATATCAATTTGCATATCTTTCATTTTGACCACCTTATTTCATATGTTTAAAGCCTCTAATGAGTGAAACGTTTTTTGAAAATATATATGCTAACAGCTTTTTAATTTTATTTTTTGCATTTTCTCTGTACACCTGTTAGCAGCCATCTCTCTATACCCATCTGTGTGTGTACAGTGCCAATAGGGTGTACATATGGCAGCTAACATTTTCCAGGGACTTATGAAGACTACACAGAAAGACAATGTGGGGAGTGATCAAGGGGGCAAAATATTTATATTTACTGCTTTTGCACTGGGGAGCCATAAACATTTTCCATATGAAAAGCCTTGCTGGGCTATCATTTTATACCACTACACACCTGACATAGAAGAAACTTGCATTGTTTTTCCTAAGTTCTTCCAAAGACTTTTATACTCACCCCCCTAATTGCTTCTTAGATGCAGCAACTGATTTGCAACGATCTTAGAATCAATTGAGGAATGTGGCACGCAGTTAGGGTAGTTCAGAAACACTTTTGCAATGCACACAACCCTGTTTAAGCCTGCTGACAATTGAATGCAATTTGTGGAAATACGCAAGTTCTTTGCCACCCCACCTTTAACTCCCAGTATTTATAAATATGACACTGACCATTCACTGTAGGATTAAATTTTGACCTCATCAAAGCGAGTGAGAGCTCTGCCATTGACTTCAGCAAAGAACTGTTCTCACCCAGTGAGGAGATACAGGATGCTGTTTGTTCAACATTTCCTTAAAACATCTTATCAGTGTGTGTATTGCTATATTGAAAAACCTGACACTTAAGAAGAAATCTGGTTATGTATGATTGCTTAATTTTCCGAAAGAACTACTTCTCACAACAGGAGACATGTGTGGCATGTCCAAAGAAGGCATTAAATTTTTCATCATGATTTGAGCCTCCTGGTCCTGAAAGGTTCTAGTTATGTATTGCTAATATATTACTCTCTTTTCCTTACAAGAAAACCAATGCATAGATACCACACTGCCAGCAATTCTGCAGTCTCCACCTTATTCCTTCCTGTTCCTTTCACGAAACCAAATCTTTAATTTCAGCAGAGCTAAAACACTATTCTGGCTTGACACTGTTAAGCTTTCCATGGTGTGTCTGTGTGTTATTAATCAAAACTGAAAGCCTGGAAAAGAAAACCTGAAATGCAAAGGATTAGAGTGACTAGTTTGCTCACAGATAAATTGCTGGTCTTGAGCCTCTGGGATCACAGTTTGTTGTTAATTGGAAGTTCTTAGTGAACAAAGTTCGATGCCCTCAGTCAACAATAGTTTATATTAACACACAGCAATCGGGTAACACAATTTATCAGAGTTTGGAAAGTACAGAGCAGCCGTTGTTGAAAGAATCCAAGCTACCCTCCTGCCTCTTAGTACTTTTTACTACACCAAATCTTTCAGTCACCAAACGGAAATCAGAAAGAAATTGAGTAAAAATAAATGGCTATTACAGTAACAGAAGAAGACTTACATTATGTTCAGGTAGCAACTTCAGATTTGCTGTAAATGGGATTAAAAAAATGTTTTTGTTTCTTTGAATGTTGGAAAAATCCAGCCCATAATTCAGCCAAACCAGTCAGTTACTTTTAACAAAATATTGAAATGTTTATACACTAATGTATCACTTATGTCTGTGTTTCATTTATATCTCATATATTTCATTATATGAGATATAAATGAATATTTCATTTACATAGCTTCCCCCCCATATTGACAGAGATCAATAAACAAACACTATATTTCACCTGTATTATAGTACTAATTTTGTTTAGTTCTCCCTTTTCCTTTGTTTTTTTTAAAGCTCATAAAAACATCACAGTATAAATTCTGTTCAGCTATAAGCAATACAGTGATAAATATATTCAGAGGTAATATTACTAAGCATTTTAAAGAATTTTATTTGTAATAATTAGTACTGCCTTTCACTATGATAGCAATGCACAACAGAAGTGCAAGAATAATTTTTTTATTAGCAAAGAATATGCAATTATGCTTTTTAAAAATAAAAATAAAATATTGTGTTATTTATACATGTTCTATTCTGTTTTAATCTTTAATAGCCTTTATAACTACACAGACTCACACCCGTTACCTTTTGAAATAAAATTTTAAAATCTATTTTTGAATCGTCACTCATTTTCAACAGAGAATAGCAATGTGCTCGGGTTGACCAAAAGTTATCATTTGCCTAGTCCAGCTAAGGTTTTCATGCAGAAACAAGTTTATATTTTGGGAGCCCTAGACATAAATCGGAAGAACTGTCCCATTTATTTATTTATTTATTTTTATTTCATAAAATTTCTCAAAGCTGTTTACAAAGAGAGGATGAGCATTCGGATGTTAATCTGAATTTGTACTCCCTTACCTGCATAATATACTAGAAAACTTATTTACACCTGACTAGGGATGGATCAGGGCCATTATTCTGAGGAAGGAAGCCTGAGCTATATGAATGCAGACCAGGATCCTAAGACTCTTTAACAATCTAAAGTGAAAGTTGGAAAATATGTAGTGACAGAAAAAGTTTAGAAGCAAGTGGTGTAACTGCCATTTGACAAGTAGATTCTGCTCACTTAAACCAAAGTACCTCCAGTAAAATAAAAACCTACAATGGAAAAATGTAGGTAACTATATGGCAATGGTACCATGTCAGTCAAGTAACACACATTTGCTCCTACAGTGAGCGGGACACCAGGAGATATGGGGCAAGTTCTTGAATACCTGGCCAAGTAAGATTTTGTGTGATCACTAAGTGAGGTTTCAGTGCTCCACACAGATCCTTGTCCTTCCCCAAGATTAAAGTTCTCAAACTAAATTATGTAACTGAGTAAAAACAACAGAATACATTATGCAAAATAATGCAGATGCAGTTAATGAACTTAATCTGTATAATATATGTTGGTTACAGAATCCATCCATTTTAGCTCAAAAACTTGCTTTTTGTTTGGGGTGCACACAGCCTTGGGGCAACTCAGCCACAGAGAAACTGGGTAGCAATGGGCAACAAGCAATCTCATAATTTTAGTTTCCCATCTGTAAAATGGAAATAATTGCCACACTGGCGAGCTATGAAAATTATAAACAAGGGAAATAATAATTATGAACCACTCTGATCCTTACGGATGGAGTTGGTTCTACATTTTCACAAATAAAATAATACATACGAGAGTCACTGTGGTGTGGGAAGATATATAAAGGATAATCACTTTATCAGCTGCTAGTTAGAGGGTTGTGCAATACTTCTGGGGGTACATGGAAAGCCAGCCCCACTATTACTTTCTGTTAAAGCTGGTAGAGACAATTGAATACTGGACCTATTATCACTTGTGGAGTCATACCCTGACTGGTCAGTTTATCATACCCTCTGCCTTCTTCAGCATGTTCTATATACATCCACATTACCTCTTCTTGACAGAAGATGAGAAAGTAGTTCTTACACAAACACATCCACAGTGAAAGATGTTTCACACCCGTATTTCCTGGAAAAAGCATGTGGTCCAGCAATTATATTCATTCATACAGGCTCCCAAAGGACTTGTGGTTGGTGTGGAGAGAGCTTAACCCTGAGTCCCAGTTCAGATGATACAGTGAGCCAAACCTTGGTTTAGCTCAGGACAGCAAAAAGGACCAGGTAGAAGCAAAGGGACGCGGGTGGCACTGTGGGTTAAACCACAGAGCCTAGGACTTGCCGATCAGAAGGTCGTCGGTTTGAATCCCCGCGACGGGGTGAGCTCCCGTTGTTCGGTCCCTGCTCCTGCCAACCTAGCAGTTCAAAAGCACGTCAAAGTGCAAGTAGATAAATAGGTACCGCTCCGGCGGGAAGCTAAACGGCGTTTCCGTGCGCTGCTCTGGTTCGCCAGAAGCGGCTTAGTCATGCTGGCCACATGACCCGGAAGCTGTACGCCGGCTCCCTCGGCCAATAAAGCTAGATGAGTGCCGCAACCCCAGAGTCAGTCACGACTGGACCTAATGGTCAGGGGTCCATTTACATTTTTATAGTAGCAAAGTGTTTGCAAGCTTCTCTTCAATGCGGTCTATCCAAGTCAAGGTTCATTTGGCTTAGCATATTGTGTGAAACTGGCTGCAGTAGCCAGTGTCTTTCCATATAAGATGGAATAGGGCAGAGAGGGGAAAATACTAGGCTTCAGAGGCTCACAGAAGAATGGAGGAAACCGATGTGGTGGTGGCGGGACTGAACAAGCCAAAATACAGCCTTTGCTTGAAACCAACAACCACTTCCATCATACCTGGATGGCTGAATCCAAAATACATGGTTTTCATTGTATTTGGAAAACCTTGTTTCTAAGCTAAAACCATGCCCAGGGTACCAGTGATCTACTCTTAAATCCCAGGATGGCCACTGCTCTCCTTATCTCATAATGGACCAGCCACTACTTTCTGATAAACACTGATCAACAAAGAGAAACACACCCAGCAAACTGAAACCACAATCTGCTTGGTGCCCTATTCTGTACAGTAGGGCAATGGGTTAACTGGCCTCAGGTAGCAAAGATTACCATGTGAAACTGCTTTATGCCAGTGAACCCATTGATCCATCTATCCCAGCATTGCTGGCAACAGTCTTCCAAGTTCTCAGCATTTCATAGCCCTGGCTATCTGGCCATTTTAATAGCAATTGAACCCGAGACCTTCTGCATGCAAACTCACTGAGCCTAAATATGGGGGAACCATGCAAAACGTATTCACCCTGTTATTGTTTCCCTCTATCCCTCCCTTGCCTCCAAACCTGGATCCCTGAAGGACTGGAGAAATATCAAGGGTGTGGGGGGTGGAAATGTGTATTTCACACTCTGCTCATGGTGGCAGGCTGAGCTGCTGAGCATGATAGGATATAGATTTGGCTTGCAGCAAGAGCGCTGGAAAAGCATACCTTCCAAACCTTAAATATCTGGTGTGTTTTCCCCCCAGTGCTCACAGGTACAATGGTGCTCAGCTGCCTTCTTTCTTTCTTCCTCCAATGCAGGGTGTAACAAAAGAACTAATGTTCTGGCCAGATGGCCTTCTTCGGGGCATACTGAGAGCACTCAAAGGAAAGCAATACAGCCTAAATATCATTTCAGCTAATTTAAGTGGCAGCAATCCTGCGTTGTTTTTTTCATTTCACTGTATTTGGCATGGGTTTCGCTAGAATTAAGCGCCCGCGTCTGCCACAAAGCTTTATCGGCCGAAAATTGCAACGTTTTGTTCACATTCGGTTTTGTGGTTCGGAAGATGACTCTGAAGCTAAAGGAGACTCAGAATGGCTTACAAAGACATTTGTCCTGCCTGTCACTACTTTAGCCTTATTTCCTTGAACCCCGTCCCTATCTCAGCCCCCCTGGAATAATACTGCCAATAGTTTAAATTTTGGGGACTGGGATCCTTAAGATGTATACCTATTTCATATATATTTATACCACCTTGAGAAAATAAAAACCATCTCAATGAGGTTTACAAAATAAAGCAGTAGCTGAGATCCAGAAGTACAGTGGTACCTCAGGTTAAGGACTTCATTCGTTCCGGAGGTCCGTTCTTAACCTGAAACTGTTCTTAACCTGAAGCACCACTTTAGCTAATGGGGCCTCCTGCTGCCGCCACGCCACCGGAGCCCGATTTCTGTTCTTATCCTGAAGCAAAGTTCTTAACTTGAAGCACTATTTCTGGGTTAGCGGAGTCTGTAACCTGAAGCATATGTAACCTGAAGCGTATGTAATCCGAGGTACCACTGTATACATGAGAGGCAGTGTTACTGCAGGACAGGGTTAGAACAAAACCATTGGCAATCTGCATTGAGCTTGAATCCCACCCTGCATTGAGCTCGAATGCTAACTTCCTACCCCTGTTACATTCATAATGTAGGTCCACACATGTGAATAAAAACAATCCAGTTATGAGAAACCAATATTGATGTTCATATTCTGTGCACTGCCTATACTAGCACCTCTTCAGAAAGAGCATGCCCCGTATGCTTTCACTGGGTCTCTGGCCTGGATTAGGGATGGGGGGCGCTGAACCCCTCTGGGTGGCCTCCCTCGTCCCTGGCCATTGGCCATGCTGGCTGGAGCTGATGCCCAACAACGACTGAAGGACCAGTTCCCCCAACTAAAGCCAGTTGGCTTTAAGGTAGGATTATGTAAATAAGCAATAATGTTTAGAATCTCAACCTTCAAAACCTTGAGTCATTCATAGATCAATTTCTTTTAAACCGAAGTTCAGGGTGGAGTTCCTAGAAGCAGTTTAATCACTTATAGGAGATCGCTAATAAACACAAATTACAATCCATGTATTTTGCTAATTTCTCTTATGGAATTTGTAGAAACCCCCTGAGTTCAGTTCCTAGAAGCATTATTTCCACCTAATTCCCTTCTCCACGCTAACCTTATGCTTTTTGCCCTGAAATCTGTATTATGTACCACTATTGTTACTCCTATTATGCCAATGTAAAATAATTTACATTGATTTTGTACAATACTGATCCCTTTATCGAAATCTGGCTTTTTGTAGGAATCTTTTCCCCATTCAATGTGTCCCAGATGTAGTCTTCGTTCAGCCATAATCAGTGGCATCTGCCCTTTGGGCAGCCTGCAGTTACGATTAAATACATTTGTGCTTAGAACCCAACAGCAGCAACCCATGATCCCAGTCTTTTATCTCAAATGGTAGCATTTCAATTTTGGTGGAATCTACCAAGGAAAGTGCCCAAAAGCCCCAAGCGGACAATGTCACTGGCACTTAGTTTACAGTCGTACCTCTGGTTACGTAAACTTCGGGATGCACGCACGGCAAACCCAGAAGTATTTTACTGGGTTTCGCCCCACGCGCATGTGCAGAAGTGATCTGCACATGCACAGAAGCTGTCCTCAGGTTGCAGAAACCTCGGGATCCCACCAGACCTCCAGAACGGATCCCGTCCGCAACCCAAGGTACCACTGTACTTACAAATGTCTATCCCACTTCTCAAAATGTAGGTCTCAAAAGTGGTTTGCAACATTGAATATATAGCTAAGTCCGTACAGCATGAAACTCTTAATCTCAGGGTTCTGGGTTTGAGCCTCTCGTTGGGCCAAAAGATTCCTGCATTGCAGAGTTAGACTAGATGACCCTCGTGGTCCCTTCCA